AACTACCGGGTCACCGGCGGCCGCGGTCGCCATTGCGTCGCGCGAGTTAGTAGCATCCAGAATTCCCCGAAGGGTAGAACCGAACCTAGACCAGCGAGGGCTTCAGTTTTACGTGGAGCGATATCTGTTGAACCATCCGGATTCACCACGGACGCCTAACTTCATGGAGCAATACTTCAGTAATGCGGATGCGATGCAGAACGCCATGATCGCTGTTGGGCTGGCGGGCATGTCCAACCTGCTTGGGAATAAGAGCATGAATTTAGTTGCACGGTCCAAATATGTCACTGCGCTCAAACAAACAGGGCAGCTGATCGCCGGCGCATCTCAGAACTATATGACCGTCGTAAAACCTCTAAGATCGATCGTGACGCTTGCTCTATTCGAAGTATGATCCTAAGCTCTCTCTTATGTGTTAGTGGTAATCTAGGCTAATTAGAACAGGTCGTCCAAGGCAAAGGATCAAGACTAACCGCAGGTTCAGCCAACACCCACATCAATGGCGCCGTTGCGCTTCTGCGATCCGTGCTACCCGTAGCAAACGCACCAAACGGCGGTGCTCGTGGTGTACTCCAGCTCATGTTTTCCATGGTGAGGTTTAACCCTTGGGACCCGTTCTATATCTTCAATCCGTTCTAACTTCCTGTAGTTTATCCCCTCACAAATGACTGACATTCCCTTACCTCCCGGTTTCTTTGAATGTCTCGATATTTGTAAGCAGCTACTGCAAGATTCCATCGAGTCTTGTGCTGTCGACCTGGCAATAGCTATTTCTTGCCTACTGCCGTTGTTGGCTGCCGCCGATAAGATGACATATGTAGATGGGCGGCCAACAACAGATGCGTTGATTCAACAGTTTTTGGCGGTGGAGACGATGTTTGATCGTGTAGAACGCCAGTTACAAGAGGCCTATCCATTTGTAGAACACAAAGATGACCAGCCTTCTCCAGCTGTCTTCCGGGGAAAATGGCATAGGTATACTGAGTTATGGGGTGCTCGCATATGGAACCACTTCCGTTGGGGTCGTCTATTGCTTGAGGAGAAGATTATTATGTTCACGATCAGCTGTCCTCGCTCGAGTGCCAGATACATTCCCCCCTCACACAAAGCCAAGTGTTACTCCATCGTCGAGAACACAGCTGAGGCCGTACTCATTAGCACGCCCTCGCATTGGCACCATCCCTTGCTCGATGACGACGCTGCAAGGAAATACGAAGCGCCGGGGCAAGGTGGTGCTGGAGCAGCAGGCCTTCCCACTCTCCTTTGGCATCTCAAAGTTGCGGGCTGTGCTCCGAACATTCCTCTAGAATTCTGGGATTGGGCTTACGATATTTTACAAGTGGTATGGAAGGACATGGGGATGCAGCATGCGCTGGCATTGGCGGAGGTAATGGAGGAGCATCGGAGGACACTTTCAACAGATACAGTCAATGAAGCGCCTACGGCCGCTGATCAGACGACGACATAATGAGGGATTTACATAAAGGTTACTTCCGGACATCTCAACGATGGAAGAACTACATGCATTCTACTTTATCTGTTGGTGCATTAATCACTGGGACGGAGTAAAGGAAGGTTGGAGCGAGGTAGGCAATCCGGATGCTTTTAGTCATACTGTTGGAGAGAGAAAAGACATACCAGATGGCATGAAGACAATTACGTGACGGCTGGTTTTAAATGAAGGTTTGCATTGGTAACTACAATATTACAGCGTATGTATTATTAGAATTTTGGAATAGTGTACCGAGAGATGAAAAAGGGGAAAATACAAGTCCATGTATTTGCACTGAGCTCTACAGAGATATAACAACAAACTCACCTGAAAATGTAGATTAGCTAGGTGGCTACCTCGTGTTACGTGGCTAGATGTCAAATTTCTCGATGTCACGGAACCTGCCTTGAGCTTAGAGTCATATATAGGCGAGGAACTAAAACTACAGAAGCTTTTAGGAATATCTCACTTTAGAGCCACGACCGACTGCGTGGGAGAAGTCGACAGTATTACAATCCCGCCGATTGTGGTTTATCGTACAGATCAGCTACAAATAACCGTTCCATTTGTGGCATGAGCAACTTCCTCCCGCACGAGGAAGCTTCTCTCGTCGTCCTGACGGCCCTCGATAGTACTCAAACTCTGTATATCAAGCTTCAGCAGATGAGCTTTTGCCGGACCCGGAAGATGATCAATTACCTTCCATACCACCACCCCTGCTCGCATATCTTGACCAGACACAAAAGCTCGGAGGTCCTGTAAACGCACCATGCCAGGGGCGCAGCGCACAACACCTTCCAATTATTTACAGGAGTTTCGCAAATATGGGAGAAAGCTGCGAATTGTTACGGTCCTAGACCTATCATATCCCTGCCTTTTTTGGTAGCCTCTTGCGTGTTAACCAAAGCCTTCTGGGCAAGAGCAGATATATCCTGTACTATGCGGAAAGCATGCAGTGACATTGACTTTACGCCAGCTCGTAGACCCGGGGAGGTGGCAACCGTGGGACCTGAGTGTCGCCGAGCTCGTTGGCGCAGTCAATGGCCGGTAGCTCCACAGCTCCCTCGCTCTTGGCCTCGGTTGTGGTGGCGCCGGCATCTTCGCCGGCATTGGTATTTCCGCCGTTATCTGAATTGTCGCTGGTCGTCGCTGCGTTGTTCCGCTCCTTGGATCGGGCCCCGCGTCGGAGGAAGTATAACAGCGCACCACAGGCGAGGGTGATGCCGACAACACTACCGACGACGATGCCTACGACCTTGGGGACGCTCAGGAAGGCCCCCGAGGAGCCCGACCCTGCCTCGGTACCGCTAGTGTTCTGAGGTCCCGCTGGTTGGCCGGTTGGGAAGGCTACGACAATGCTCGTCTCCGAGGGGGAAGATACCGGGGAGGTAGTGGGTGTCGCCATGGAGAAGAAAGAGTCATAGGAAGTCAACGTGGAGCTGCTACTGCTACTGCTACTCCTGCTGCTATACGTATCAGAGGCAGTACTTGAGGTGGCATGCACGGCGCTGGTCGAAGCTAAGGAAGTAAACGGCTTCCCGTCCGGTTGAAGAGACTGGTTAGCCATCCTATTGCACACGTTGTGTCCATCCTGTGTGACACAGCTATATCCCCAGGGACAGCAGTCCTCGCCGCACTCGCTCAGATCCATGTCGGTAAAGATGGTCTCAACAACAGGAGGGCTCCCGCCGCCGCCACCGCCACGCGGGTCGTAAAGTCTCAAGTCGCAACTCATGGGCGCGATGACTGCGCAGCTGCCGTCGGATGGGCAGCACACGACTGTTGTTCTTCCCGCCAGCACGAGGGGGAAAGTGGTGTTTTGACAGCACATCCCATTGACGACGAACGGCCAGCCCGGATCGCCGCACTCAGGCATGATGGCGTCTTCGGGGCAGATATCTGCGGGGCCAATATTGAGCGAATGGAAAGAATGATGGTAAAGATTGTGTTTCCTGTGTTTCTGGACGTGTGGTTAACGATAAAGTCTATATCGAGAAGATAAATGTTCATCAGAAGAAAGTGACTGAAAACGCGATACTCACAAAGGGCTGCCTCTTGACCTGTGTGGATTCGGATAGGGGGTTTGAGCGTTATATTGCCGTTGGTAGATAGGAGTTGTCTGGTGAAGATCAACGCGGTTGCTGAATTTCCAGAGTACAGTCATACAAGAACGAATGGAGCCCTGACTTCTTAGCTTAACGTGTGGATAATTAGTCCCTAGGTGTTTGCTATTGTTGTCAAAGAATTCCAATCTTGTTCTGTGTAGCAGAGAGTCGTGGTGGTCCCGTGAGCAGCTCACGGGTTGCCCAGGTGGTACCGCAGTGTGGTTATTCCTCGGGTACCTACTGGCCTGAAGCCTAGGTGAGTGTTTAGATACTTTTATTTGGATGGCACTTAAATAATCATAAGCTGTAAGTTTGAAAGACAAGCACAGCTACTTCTAAGCTTTCCTACCGAGTCCGTTTAGTTAACTGGTTCGGCCGAATCTCGCTTGGTAGTTTTTTTTGCAAATGTGAACGGGGAAATGTAATACACCTCGTTCTTTTGTCTAGCCCAACTTGATACAAATGAATAATGTAGCTAAGTCCATAGGGAAGATCCAGCGGACTTTATGACAGAGTAGCAGCCCGTACAACAGTCTGCAATGCTGTCAAGCCATGGCGACCGCCTTGAGTGTCATGAGAGGCATACCTTGCTTAGGTAGCCAGATTCGTCCAACTCGTATATTTCTCCAGCTCAAAATATTATAGCCTGACAAGGAACAATACAGCTGCAGGACTAGGCACACCCTGCACAATGATTATGATTATACCTAAACGGTAAAGTGCTCGAGCTACGTTACATATTTCTCATCCCAAGTCTTGTACAGACAGAGATGGTGTAGAATGGGATAGTAACACACGAGGCAAACAGATTAAGGCTTTCGGGACGATTCTGTGATTCACAACATGTGAAAGTCTGAGTCAGGACGTAGGTAGCTACCACAGTTGGAATCCATGGAACTAGATAGTTGCATGGCCTTAAACTAGGAGTTATTTCATACGATTAATTATGTATAGAGAGAATTAGTAAATTCTACTGTTTGCGGCCCCTCAGGCACGCCGAATATAGATTACACGAGCCCATAAGCAGACGATGCAATTGGATCGTTTCTTCCAGGGTTAGGGGATCGAGAAACCCATAGAGCTTCAAGGAGAGGTTATACATCGAGACGAAGGTAATTATTCCAATGTGCGTGTAAAGAGGCGCGAGACTGCTTCACGAGGAGCCACCATTGAAGTCTTGAATTGCATTCGGAACTAGGTCCATACGTCCCTTCAGAGAGTGCTATATAAAGTCACGGATGGCTGGCCCACCATTCACCAGGACAACGAACAATAGCCCTATCACCTGACGGCCTGGCTAATCTGTTTGACAGCTGTAAATAGGGCCCCAGCCGTCACACGGAAAACCTTTGCCAATTGAATCCGCCTTAATATCGTTTAACTGAATAGTATTTAACAAACAGTCTAAAGTGGTGTAATGGTAACATTCCAAGGTGACATATGGGGAAGCTAAGCGCGGAACTATGCCCGAAAGGGATGAAGGGGATCCGGGTTCGAATCCCGGCTTTAGAAATAATATTTTTTACATTTATTATTTAATTAATAACTTTATTTATTTTAAGTTTGAAAAAAAAAATTTTATGTTTACAGTTATAATCGTTATTTATTATATAAGTAAACATTATTTATAATAATTATAATATATAAAAGTTATTAAACTTATTATATATATTTAAATTAATTATTATATTTAATTTATGTTTTTTAATAATATTTTAATATATATAATAATAATTTTTAAAAACTAAAATATAAAATATAATAAATAATATATATTATATATTACGGCTTAAAAGTTAGCAGTTAATTTTAAAACTAAATTTACTGTATATTTTTTACAAAATAACTAAGATAAAAAAGAAAGGAAAGTATTTATTTAACAACTGCAGTACAAAAATATATAAGTAGGGAATAGTAAGGTATTATAATGGCTGGTGTTTTATTTGTAGTTGTTAAACAAATTAACCAGCCGTCGAGCTATTATTTATTATCCTGGTGAATAAAATACCTAAGGTATTTATATACTTTATTAATCCCTGCCTAGGTATATATTTCTGTATATTTTTATACTGCAATTGTTAGATAAATACTTTTTCCTCTTCTTTATTTTAGTTGTTTTATAAGGAATATACAGTAAATTTAATTTTAAAACTAACTGCTAACTTTTAAGCTGTAATAAGTATATAAATACTTTAGGTATTTTATTTACTAAGACAATAAGTAATAGCTTAACGGCTGGTTAATTTATTTAACAGTTATAAATAAAATACCAGCTGTTATATTATAGCTTAAAAGTTAATAATTAATTTTAAAATTAAATATACTATATATTTTTTATAAAATAAATAAGATAAAAAAAAAGGAAAGTATTTATTTAAGAATTACAATATAAAAATACTTTAAATATTTTATTTACTTAGTAATTATTGTGACAGCTGGTGTTTTATTTGCAGCTGCTAAACAGATTAACCAGCCGTTAGTGTTACGAAGCGTACACTAGTGTCCAACACTATGTATGCTCTTGTGGTATCGGGGTTATAGATGCTTGAAGTATAACCAGGGATACTTTTATGTTTATGTTTAAAGTATACGTTAAAGGATAGTATTGCGGGCAATAAGAATAATAGTATCTTAAATTAACTGTTTTGTAGAGAATGTTTTTTTATAGTTATTTTTAAGAACTAACTATAGATATAAGTTAAATAGTAATAAGTGAATAACTAGTTATATAGGAAATCTTTTTTTTTTTATATGTTTATTTTTTTATTTTTATAATTAGTAATAATTTTTTTTAATTATTGACTTTGCTATGATTATTGTTGATTAGATTATTAAAAATTTATGTTATTTAGTTATAATTAGTGTATTTTTTTTAATTATTATAGATTTTTTTTTTTATTGTATATTGTTTTATTTGTATTTTTAGTGGATGATTTGTTTTTTTTTTCCGGGCTTGTTAATAGGCTTTTTTTTTATTAGTTTGTAACATTATTTTTTTTTTTTTAGTTTTGTTGTTTTAATAAATAAATAGGTTAGTGTTTTTTTTTTTTTGTATATGTGTTTTTTTGCTAACTTTTTTTTTTTTTATTATGTTAGGTTGTGTTATTAAGTTTTGTAGTAAACTTGTTTTTTTTACCGTTTGTTGGCTCGATTTTGCAGATTTTTTTGAAGACTTTGGTTTCGAAGTTATGCTTTGCTTTCGCTGTTTTGACAAAGGTTAGAAGTGCGTTATGATAGAAGGTGTTAAGCGTTGTGAGGAGTGTGTTTATATAGGTGGTTTTTGTGATGGGAACGGCGTTCCGTTATTTTTTTTTTAACGGATTTAGGCTAAGTTTTAACGTTTAGCTTGCGAAAAGATTTTGGCGGAAGAGCGTTTTGTCGAATTGCAACGTCGTTATTGTGAAGAATTAGAGCGATAGAAAAATGAGGCGGACAAGGCAATTTTTCGGCTTATTTGTTTTCGTAAATTAAAATTTATGGCTTAGTTTTAAGGGGTTAAATTGGTTTAATAAGGCTTTCGTTTTTTAAACGAGCTGGACGAGCAAGAGCGTTTAGAATTGGAGGCGGTGATTTTTGTTTGTGCTGCTAGTGCGGTTAATATGGTTAATTAGAGTACTATAAGGGTCTTTTTTTTTTTTTAGGCGGTCGACTTTTCGTTTTTAGTCGAAGTTGGTTAGGATGTTGTCGGTGGAAATTTTTAACAAAATTTTTTACGTTCGTGAGGTGTTTTTTCGGTTTTTATATAGTTTTAGCGTTTGTATAGCTTTTTTATTTAATAAAATATTCGAACTTTTTTTTATTTTGTCGTAAATTTAAAATTTTTTTTACTTTATAAATGTTTTTATTTTTATCTATTTTTAGCTAGGTTTTAAACGCGGCGTTTAGGTGCGTTTTGGTTAATAATAATATATAAAAAATTAGTTAGATAATTATAGTGTTTAATAGTTTTAATTTATATATTATTAGTAATATTGCTTTTTTAATTTTAAAAGGTCCGATGTTTTTAAAATCGAGTTTTTTATTATTTTGTTTTGTTTAAATGTTACGTTTTAAAAAATAGATTTTATCTTTTTTTTTTAAAATTAGCTTTAATAATTTGCTTTTGTTGTAGTATTTTTTTATTTTTTGTTAAACAAATGTAAGTTTTTTTTGTAATTATTTTTATAATTTTAGCAATTTTTTTGTTTGGATTTTGGCTGTTGGTGCGGTAATGCTGTTAATGTAATGTCGTTACGTATTTATATCGTATTTATAGTTTGTTTTGAATGGTGATATTTTTATTGTTTTATTTGTTAAATTGTTATATGCTAGTTTTACGTTTGGTAATAATTTTATTTAGTTGTTTTGATTTTAATTGATGTAATAACGTAGATATTGTTTTAGTGTTTGGTTTAGTTTTTTTACTTGATTATTTATTTGTGGGTGGTATATTATAAACATTTTGTGCTTAATTTTTAAAGTTTTAGTAAATAATTGCTAAAATTTAGATGTTATTATTTTATTTTTGTTAATAATAATTGTTTTTAAATAACTATATTTGCTGAAAATATGTTTTATTATTATATAAGTTAAGTTTTTTGTTAAGCTTGCTTTTTTGTATAGTATAAAGTAAATATATTTCGTAAATTTGTTTGCTATAACTATAATAAAATCGAATTTTATTTTTGTTATAAGTTTTTTTAATTTTGGTAGTTTGATTATATAATTAAATATTATCGTTTTTTATGCTTAGTTTAGAATTAGTACTAGTATTAAATTTTTATATAGTTTATATTTAGTTATTTTAGATTTTTTGCATAAGTTATATTTTGCGATAATTTTTTTAACTATTGTCGATGTTTTTAGGAAGTCGTAGTTTTTTCGTAATTTGCTAAATGTTTTAAACATTTTTTAGTGTTTTGAAAATAGATATTTGTGTATTTTTTTAATTAATTTGTACTGGCATGTTTTTAGTATGTATAGTTTATCGTTATAGTACTAGCTGGTTGGTTTGTTTGACTTTTGTGGTGCGTCTCGTATTTTTTAATTCTATCTTTCGTAATTTATTTACATAAGGTTTATAGATAGGCTTTTATTTGTATTTTTATATAATAATACCTGGCTTTTTAATAGTACTTTTTATTTATAATTGCTTTTTCGGCTAAAGATATTTGCTTTATCGTTTTTTTTGCTTTTAATATAAATAATTTTAAAATTAAATTGTAATAAAAATTTTGCTTATCGTATTTGTCGTTTGTTTAATATTTTAGTAATTATAAACGTTATAAAGTTTTTATAGTTTAAGTAGACTTTTATTAGTATTATAATGCTATTTAAGTAATATTTTTATTATTTAAATGCTTTAATTATTGCTATAAATTTTTTGTTATAAATCTAATAATTTAATTTAAGTTTTAAGAACTTTTTTAAAAAAAATGCCACTAAATATAATTTGCCGTTTTTGTTTTGTTAGATTAATTATTTTTTTATAGCATAATTATTTATGTCGATTTTTACTTTATATTTTTTGTTTAAATTAGGTAATTTAAATATTAAATCGTTTAAAATTGCATTTTTAAATATATTAAACGCTTTTTGCTTTTTTTTCGTCTATTGGAAAGGTTTATTTTTTTTGGTAAGGTTTGTAAAAGGCGCCGCGATTTTTCCAAAATTTTTAATAAATATACGTACGTAATTCGCGAATTTTACAAACGATCGTACCTCTTTAATATCCTTTAGTACGGGCTAGTTTTTTACTGCTTTTAATTTAAACTGTTAAATTTATACTTTTTTTGGAAATATTATATATTTTAAAAAATCTACTTATTATTTATAGAACTTACTTTTTTTTAAATATATTTTTAATTTTACTTTTTATAACGTTTAAAATATTTATCGCATATATTTTTTATATTTTTCGAATATTTTCGAATAGATTAAGATATCGTTTAAATATACTATTATAAATTTATTAATAAATTTGCGTAGTATATTCGTAATTATTAACTAAAATATTGCTAATATATTAATAAAATTAAAGTCTATTATTAAAAATTCGTATAGTTTATATTTTGTAATAAATGCTGTTTTTTATTCGTCGCTTTTTTTAATCTTAATATAGTAATAAGTTTTTAAAATATTAAATATTATAAAGCATTATGCTTTTTTTAAACGATTTTTTAAATCGTTTATTTATAGTATAAGTTTTTTGTTTTTAATAATAATAAAGTTAAAATGTTGCTAATTTTTACAGTTTTTCTATTTTCGCTTCCTATTTTTTCCCGGTTTTTTTAATACTTATAATATTAATACTACTGCTAGTAATTTAAAATATCGTATAAACCTTTTTTTTAGGTTCTTGTCGAGATATTTTTGTAGTTTGTCGAGTTATTTTTTGTTCGATTTATATAGTTTAAAAGCTTCAAGGTACGTCCTTTTTTTTAAATCAATCGTGTGATTATATTTACTATGCTTTAATAGCCCTGTTTTTTTACTATATTTTTTTGTAAATAAGCTTTTAAATTTAGCATATT